ACACACATGTGAAGGAGTTTCTTAAGGGGGCAGGAGGAATCAGTTTGTCTACCCATCTGTCCATCCCTCCACTCAACCATTATCCATCCACCCCTTCACCCAGTCATCCATTCATCCACCCATCCGCCCACATGTTTATTTATCTATCCACTCATTTACCCATCCACCAATCTTTCCATAAATAAAGTATTTTGAGGCATATAACTAGTGGGTCCAAGGCAAGCTGTCTCTAAAAAGTAGGCAGCAAACGTGCTATAGCTTTTGGGAAAGCCATATTGAAACTCACATCTTTACATTTACTCTCTTCCAGAACCTTTAAAAAATTTTTATTTACTTTTTCTCTTTTTAAGAATATACACAGCAAAAACATACACTAGTTCAACCATTTCTACATGAACAATGCAGTGGCATTGACTGCATTCTTTTAAGTTGTGCAACCATTCTCACCCTTCCTTTCTGAGTTGTTCCTCCCCCTTTAACATGAACTCACTGCACCCTAAGATTCCTATCCTTTCGAGTTGCTGTTGTCAATTTTATCCCACATAGTTTCTTTTTTTATTTTTTAAAATTAGTTTTGCAGTGTTCCCTCCTCCATACAGATAGTTCTTAAAAGAGCACTATACTCAAGACAGACCTTCTTTACTAGTTAAGCTAAACTATTGTTTGGTTTTAAGAAGACTTCAGAGGATTTTTTGGTCTAAAGCTTAAAGATTATCTCAGGCAATCATTTCAGGGATTCATGAAGACTCCATGGCTCCAGAAAATCTGGATTCCATGAAATGTTTAAATTCTCTCTTCATTTTCCTCTTTCTGATTAGGATTTTTTTTTTAATAGTATCTTTGATCAAAATGTTTATAATGGCAGCCAGGCACCATCGAGTTCTTCTGATCTCATAGTAAAAGAGGCAGTTGTTGATGGAGGCAATTAGCCACATATTCCATATCCTGCTCCCATTCTTGATTCTCTTTCTTCCTCTGTTGCTCCAGGTGAATAGAGATCAATTGTTGAACATTGGATGGCCGCTTACAAGTTTTTAAGACCCCAGGCATTACACAATGAACTAGGAGGTAGAACGAAAACACTAAATGTGTTAATAAGCCAATTAACTTTCCTAGCACTTTAGATGGGAGCTCTGGTAGCATAGTGCCCAAGGCACTTGACTGCTAACCAGAAGGCTGATGGTTCAAATCCATCAGCCACTCCTCAGAAGGAAGGTTGGGAAATCTACTTCTGGAGCGATACTGCCTCGACAACCCAAGGAGGGGTCGCTATGAATCGGGTCCGACTCGACGGCACATAACAACAACAACAGCACTTTAGATGCTCCTTGGCAGTTCACTCATAGGGCCTGGTTGAGCCACCCTCTAGGGACTTTTTAGAGGCCACAAGATTAGGGTCTTCTTCATCTCAAGAGACATGATCCTTTGCCCGTCACTTACTCAGAAATTCCTTCCTTCTTATCTCTCTCATTTCCTGGTTTCTCCTCTTGTTTCAGAACTCTAAATGTCTCTAGCTGACATTTTCTCTCTTGGTGAACTCATCCAGTCTCTATCTTAAAAATATCTCTAGAATCTGACCACTTCTCAACTTCCCTTTAATTTCTCTCTCGGACTGCTAAATAGCCTCCTCTTCACTGGTCTCTCTGCTTCCACCCTTACCCCTACAGTCCATTCTCCTCACATCAGCCAGAGGGATCTTGTTACAACCTAAGTCAGGTCACACTTCTCTCTGCTCAAAATGCTCCTGTGGTTCCCCCATAACTCAGAATAAAGTCCTTACTATGATCCAGAAGGCCTTATACAGTCTGTTCTCCATCACTTCTCTAGCCCCATCTCCTACTTCTTTCCCCCTCACTCACTCTGCTTCAGCCACACTGGCCTCCTTGATGTTCCACACATACACCAGGCACATTCATGCTTCAGGGCCTCTGCATTGGCTGCTTGCTCTGCCTGTCTGTTTTTCTTCCAGATACCTCTGTGGCTCCCTCTCTCACTTTATCAAGTGTCTCCTCCATGGTGAGGCTTTTTTACCCTGACCTTCCCAT